CTACTACCTACCCTACTACTACCTACCCTACTACTACCTACCCTACTACTACCTACCCTACTACTACCTTCATGGTCCAATGGTCTCATACCACATTATTCAGGGGGAGTGGACCTCATGAGTGGTATCTCATACCTTCTTGACCTTGTTGACCTACCATGTGGGGGGGGGGGTTTATTAATCCGGTCTTTGCATTAGTGCTTGTCCAAATGGCCTCCGACAGTAGGCGCTTGTTCAGTTTGCCATTGGACCATCGTACCGAACATCATGTCTGCAGCGAAGACCCCCTCCGTCGGCACGGCGTCGTCTCCCCCGCCGGTCCCCCAATGGTGCGACACAAACCACTGAACCATAGAAGGCCCTGCCACTTCAGCATAGGACAATTGCGTGGGCCGCGTCACTGGCTTCAGGATGTTGTGGACAACATAGTGCCTGGGGGTTCAAACACACGAAGTGCCTTGCAAGATCCTAAAATGGAGGCTTGAACATCACGGACCCAGCTATAGACATTGACAAAGACCAAACGATAGGGTAAGCTCATGCAGAAGCCGATAGATAGAAACTTGACAGATGTGGCTTTCTTCTCACTCGAGCCTCTGAATCAGGCCTCAAAAGGCATACTTTTGGGGGGGCTAGATGTACAGTCGAAAGTCACTAGTCTAGTCAAGTCTAGTAGTTCTTTTGCACATTGCCTTGCAAACAGCATCAGATTCATGCAAATCCAAGTTGCATGTTGCGGTTTAAACCAACATGTGCCTTGAAGAACTCATAGAAGTATGCCAACTGTCCTGGCTGCGGAAACGGATTCCGCCCCATCTGAACCCGACGCCTGGATTTCAGACGCCCGGCCTATGGTCACCGCGCGATGTGGACCACGACGGGTGGAAACCTCTGGGCTCGAGGAACGGAATCATAGCAAACACTCGATGTCCCAAAACTGGCGATCTGCATTGCCATGGCATTGGCACCTAAGGATTTCATGATGCATACACGTCTGTAGATGGACCATCGATCCCGTTGCATCTGACGATCATCTATACCGGTCTATACCCTCGATCCGCCCAGAAGACCCGGACCGCTCCATGTCCTCGGATTTGGCGTGACGAACCGGGGCTCCGCGCGGGTGTGGGATTCAACTCTCGAAGCTTGTGCCGGAAGCGATGCATCTCCTGTGGGCCGCACACTCAATGGGATTGGGACCAGTAACTGCAGGATACTGCAGGTTTTGGAAGGATTGGTTCTTGGGACCCGGGGGTTGACTCGGATGCTCGCAAAACGACGCCGATGTTCATCGCTTCGTCGTCTTCGTTCTCTGAGTTCCTTCGAAAGCCTTGTGCGACGCAAGGCATAGAAACGCAGCAGGTGGAGCACGAGGCCAGTCGTCAGCCCCAGGCACGCATGCAGCAAAAGGGTCCCTTGGTGGCTTTGTATTTCGTTTGGCGATGGCTGGCGAGCAGTTAAAACAATAAAACACGACGATGTTGAGGCGTTCGTGTGCTTGAAGAGGCTTTATAAGTCAATGTCACCGGTTCACCTTGAAGTATGAGGAAGTCTGGTCGGCGTCGCTTTGCGCACGTAAAAGCGTGATCAACAAATCACTCTCTGAGACCTCGACGGGTGCCCGAAACGTATGCCTCATTCACTGCAAATGAATAAAACACGCCTGCAAGGTCTGCGGAGTGCGTGGAAAAGACTGGGAGCTGAGCATCCATCAATGACCATTAACTCAACATAATACATTTAAGCCAAATTTAAAATGTCTTCGCTTCTCGTTTTGCTTCAGGCCAGTGCTCGGTTCCGGAAAGAAACACATAGTTTCTCCACGCGCCTACATATGCGACGGCCATCATGAGGATCATGGAATACTGAACTCCAAACATGCCCGTGCGAGCAATGGCATGTGGGCAATAGACCTGGGCATCTCTCTTTCGCTTCTGCGTTGCGAACCGGACCAGAATTGACTGCGATGTCGAAATGAGCATGCCATGCTGGTTGGCATGCGGACTGACCCAAAAGGAGTCGAGTCGAAGTCAACCCATCCAACTCCACGTCAATGCGCTGCCGGTCGGGCTTGGTCCGGTTCCTCCAAGGTCCGGTGGGTCGCCCAGCGGGTACCGGCCTGGAAGGTGCCGCTGGAGGTCTCAATTTCCGCGAGTGGGCTTCCATCCTGGCGAGGTGTCAAGAAATAGAGTCTCCTATGGCTTCTAGGTTGGAGGCCATTGCTATACCAGGTTGGAGATGATTGTTTTTATAGGTTGGAGGCCATCGTTACTGGCATCCGCGAGTTAGGACGGGGCGGGCGAGTGAGAACGTGTCTCCCTGCTGGAGCACATCGGAAGCAAGGAGCTCTAGCTCCGCTCCAAGGCGACTCAGAAAAACATGACAAAGGGTCCCTAGCCCGGCAGTGCTGGAAAACATCCAGCAATTTACATGCCAGCTGCTTCCAGTCCGGGTCACCAATGGACAACCCTACACTACTTATAGGATCTTATAGGTCTCCAGACAGGGCACCCATTGGAAGTGTGAGGTGCATTTGATTGAACATCATTTAAATGAAAACACATACCCTTCACTCCCGATGCTCTCCCATCGTGTTTCCATGCCCTGCACTCGCTCGCCGAGCCTTTTGGGAGAGTGAGAGCTCATGGTAGGAGAGCCAGGTGGCCCGGAATTCGCCGGAATCCAAATCTGGATGGCCAGTATCCTTGTTGCGGCTGTCCGTTTTGAACTGATAGAGTTGTTTTTTGCTTGGAAAAAGCACTGTCCAAAAGAATGAATTGTACGCTCAGCATGCTCATGTGCAGCTATACAGTTCAGAATCTAAACCCCACAAGAAATGTGTCAGAGGCAGAAACACCTGGCCACAGTAAGCGGCATATATGGCGGCTATTGCGAGTAATTGCGAAAAGCTAAGCCGAAAAGCCACAACAGCCACAAGAAGCTTCACCTCAAGACACAACTACCACCCACCCAAAAATGGACTTACTCCTTTTGGAACACTCAAACCGTGCTGCTCTCTTCAGACTTGCCGGGTCTCACCATCGGTGGTCTCATCCCTATAACGTCACAAACTCCTTCGGTCTCCTCTCCGCTTCCTCCGAGCGTCGCGAAAGGTCACCGTCACCGCGCGGTTCCGCAGGACGCCGTGGCGGCCGTGGGCGATGAGCCGGACATCGCCCAAATGAGAGACTCGGGACGGGGGCGGACGGGGCGCCCCGACGCGAGTCGCTTCGGGTTCACCGTGCGGCGTCAGGTTTCAGTGAGGCCTTTGGGACCAAAATGGCCCAAACGATCCGCATCGGCCACAATGGCCGATCCTCTCATCTTAAGTCATTGGTCCCGTCTGGGAGATACCCCCATATCTCATGTGTCTTGGGGGAGACATGTTTGATGTTACAAACCGAAGCTGAATGAATCCCCAGAATGGATGGACCTACCGTATATAGGAACCTAGGATTCGAACCATAGGATTCGATTCTGATGTTTATTTCTGTCACATGCTTTTCTATTTTCTATGTCACAAGCGAGAAGAACATAACAAATACCGGACGCAACGAGCAAACCCTTGGTGTCAATGATGGTCGCAGCATGCCATACCGGATTGTAGGATCAGTGGTCACCAATCACATCGGTTGCTCCAGCACATCATCGGTTGCAACGTCAGCCTACTTTAGTAGCGCCTTGCTCCTAGTAGTAAGGCCAGGAGCCCCGTTCGTAGCGTCCTTGCCCTTGTACAACAAACAGGGCCAAGGCAAAACGTCCACACCCAGACCCGAGCGACTGCTGCGACCGAGGCACCGACGTCGGAGATGATCACGGGCAGCCCCACGATGAAGGGCACCAGGAAGAAGACAATGGTCCAGCAAGCCACGCTGGCAGCGATCAAAAGGCTGGAGACCACATCAATGAGGCATTCCGTGTGCGCCTGCCGGGAGAATGACTGAAGGAATGACTTCGGCTGTTGGTCTGCAAAATCACTCACCTACACTGCTAACAGGTGTAGCATGATCTGATGAATTGTTAGCCTTGGACGGTGCTTGAACATCACCGGCTACTGACCTCACCGGCTTACATGGTGAGGAACCAAACACCATCAAACCACCTCCACGGACGAGGCGAGCCATTCGGGGACGTCAGGGCTTTCGAGCAACCCGTCTGGAATGTTCGACCAGAGGTCCTCATTGGGAGACCATGCCACCCACATTCCCAGGCAGCTCTGACATTGGGACATTCCCGGCAGATTCGCATAGCTGTCTTCAGGGCAAGGTCCTTAGGTTGAAAAGAAAATTAGTTCTGGAATAGACTGTGTTTCCTGAAACAATGACGCCAAACCAGAACGAGCCCTCAACACTTAAATGACGAATTGCTTCGAGATCGGTCTCTTGCAAGAGTTTCACAACAAAAGGAAAGGACCACTGAAGTTCACTGAAGATCATGCTGCTCAAGAACTCGCATCTTGTTGGTTGTGAAACTCAGTCTAGGTTCTGGTGAAACCATTCCGACCTAAAAAACAGACATATCTTGTATAGTAAAACAATATGTGTTCACTCCCGAGGGACTTGGTTGGGTGGCCAGGTGGCACGAATCAAGGACGCCAAGTATCTGCACAGGGCACTGTTGCTGTCTTCAGGTTTGTGCCATCCTGGAGCGCATTCGAAGCATTGTCCTTCTGCATGTTCAAAGCCGGGTGGGCAACAGCCTGGAACAGGCACAAGAGCGTGAGCGGCGGTGGCTGACCAGGTGTCCCTGCCAGGAGGAGCCCTTTGGCCATGTTAATCAGAATTGTTTGATACTCCTCCCATGAGCAAAAGACCGTTCTATACAGTTCAATGGCATCACTTTTCATTTTGATGTCAGCCTCAGATTCATCATTTGAGCGATCGTTGCACCAATCACTCGTTCTCCCGGGCCTTGATCGCAGTTGGTACCGAAGAAGAACTCGTTGCAGTGGCACTGCCCAGTGCCACGCAAGAACTCGCGCTGGAGTCTTGACATGTTCTCCGTCACCGCCTGGGCGTGAATGGTGAGATGTAGTTGTCGTAAGGTTTGGGCGAACGATGCGGACTCACAAGATGAAACGCGTGTGATCTTTTTTTACATCTTCAGAATACTCTTATTAAATGAGTCATGTCTCACTTTCCAGAAGCACCAGAAGCAGCGTGTGTTCGTCTGAAATTCCCGACCTGTGGGGGGGGGGGTTGTGGTTTGTTTATCCGAATCCAACGAATGTCGACTGGGGGGCAGCTGGATATAGATCATTTAGATCACAAGTCTCAGCTTCCACATTGCTCCAGTCACCAAAAAACAACTCCACAGAAAAGTTCACCCGTCAGTTCAAACACTCGCCAACCAAAGAAGCGAGCGATGCAAGTTGAATTCAGAGCTTATTCGCACTATTTCGCACTGACTAGACTATACTCCATGCCACTGGTCATGGGCCTTTCCTCGAACCAACGGCAACCCATGGCCCCTGCAAACGGCCAGAACCAGGGCGTGCCTCAAAGGCACTCGCATCGTCAAAGCCTCGGAGGCTTCGAACGCCACGCATTCTCGACCCAATCGCGACGAGCGAATCGAGCGGGAGCGATGCGAAGATTCTCGTCAGAGACCCACAGAAAGAGATTCATTCTGCCCCATTACACGTCTATGAATAAAATCTATTCAACCAAGCTTGCTGGCGACTTCATGTCCATGTGTGGAAGAAACATGAAGAAAACTACTCTTGAGCAGCAACACATGGACCAGCACACTGGGTAAAGTCGACCAACTCCCAGCAGATCTCCGAGATCGATCCAGTGCTGGAGCAGGTTAGCTGCAGGTTGCAGGTGATTGCGCTTCCACGTTGTGTGGGGCCAACTTCACCCGAAAAGAAGCAGCTGAACCACCAACATCCCGATCAACAATTCGCAGAAATCAAACGGTGCACCAACGGGTAAGGACCTAAATGCATGCAAGAAGATCTTCATCTCTGTTCCTTTCAATACAGTGGTGCGCTGCCGCTCTGTTCCTTTCAATACCCGCCCCACGTATGCTTGCCAACACAAGCGACACCAGCCGCGTGAGCTGCAGGTGCCATTCTTGGAGTTGGTTCCAGGACACGCTTCGCAGCGTTCGCCCAAATCACGGGCCTCCGTGAAGAAGCCTCGGCAGACCACTGGGTTTGGTTGAAACCGACACGAGGGCTTCTCAGTGCAGTTGATTGCAGCAGTTGATAGTGGAAACTCTGTGTTCCTTGCCTCCGAATCCAAGTGCGGCCTCGTTTCAGTTGAAACATCTGAAACCTCTGAGTTCCGTATGCAAAGTGTTTATTGATGTGGTGTGCGACAAGAAGCCGGCGCGGCAACTGGAGCAATCATATGACCCATATCCAGTGAAACACTGGCAAATACCATTGCTGCCACACACACCTTGCCAGGATGAATCGATTGTTCACGGATTCTCAGCCATTTGGTCCCCTTCGTCATGAAAAGAACTCTAAGTAATACACTCTGAGTTTTGTCAAATGTGCGAGGGTCGGAACCTGCTAGTGCAGGGATTCCTCCATCGCACAACGGTTCGGTTTCGTTTCGGAGAGGGGAAACTGCTCGTGGTTTCTCTATACATGTCTCTCACTCCCAATGTTGCATCCAAATAGTCAAAGGGGAGGGAATAACAAATTGTTGCTCCCGAAACTGTTGCCAACCCCTGCATATGTTTGGTGTTTTCGCCAGGGCGTTTATTCAAACTAGGTGTGTTTAGTTTATTGATTTTAGTTTGCTATTGTTCAGGCTATTGCTTCTCTTTCAGGTCCTTGCTTGCCCTCTTCTGAGGTCTTGCTTGATTCCTGGAACTCTGAGCTTAATGTGTTTTTGTGTTCAAAAGACCTGCGCAGTTCACTCATCAAATCACTGCTTGAACACACGCCCTGGAGAAGTGAACGCGTTTTAGGGAATGCGAAAACTTGGAGCAATCATTTTTGCTCCAAACATTTTGTTGTTTGGGGGGAGCGCACGGGCAGCGCAGGGAGGTGAAATTGTTTGTTGGGCGAGATTTTGCTGCGCAAACGAGGTCTTGCTTCATTCCTAGCATAACTAGTACGACGACGACGACTACTACCACGACTACTACTACTACTACTACTACTCCTACTACTCCTACTCCTACTTCTTCTTCTTCAATCGAGCGTGCACAAGCGCTGGAACGGAGGTATTTCACTGCAGTGAAACGTCGCAAAGCATGCCAGATTGATTGAAGGTATTGTATTATGCAATGGAACAACATACATGCACTTGGACAGCCCCCAAACGAGTTCATCTTCTTCCAAGCAACCACATACATGTTTCTTGTGAACACCAGTCACCAGTAACACCAGGAACATAAACAGGTTTCGTACATGAAGACTGGTTACTTACTTGGTACAACAATGTTTCAAGTGATTGGCCTTGGTAATCCAGGTGTCGTTCATTGGTTTCACGTGTTTTCACACTAGTAGAACATGCCTGGCGCATCCTTGCGCCTTCTGTCAGGTCCCTTCTTCCCAATCGGCCTTTGGACTTGCAGGGATCTGCTAGCTCACACCAGCCTGTCTCGAAAAACCTGCACCAAAGCGACACGAAAGACGTCCGCACGAGGAAAGCACCCAACGAGATCCACCGAGCCGTTTTCGGAATCCACTCCCCTGCGCCGTTGGCAGGTGTTCAAGCCAACTGCAGTCCGTCTGTGCGCCTCAAGTGAGAGAAGCCCCATTCGGCCACCAGAAGTCCCATCCGCCCGCCACGAAGGTCCAAGGCCAAGAAACCTCTCCAAGCACCGCTTGGACAAGCGAGAGTCGAGGTCGATGATCGGCGAGATTTGTCCAAAGGAAGCAACTTTTATGACTTATTTGGACAGTGGAGGATTCCTGGAACAACAGAATGCTTTCATCTATGTTCCTCTGATTGAATTCCAGTCCACCATCTTTAGCATGTCGCTGTGTGCGCCCTGCGCGAATGCCTGACACGTTGCTGTCAGCGAAGTGCTTGTTGAAGGAGAGTCCTTCCAGTCACTTCAAACAGAGCTACTCAGCTACTCCTCAAACCTTTAAAAAACACAGCAAGCAGCAAGCCTGACATCCCCTGACTCTCAGCTGACAATAAATTTTGTGGGCTGACTCAACACAAGAGTAGCTGACTCGTGGTGTTTGTTAGACTCGAGCCTGCAAAGGGATTTTGGGAGCGAACTTCGACAAAGCTGCCGTTGATCCCTTCTTCATACAGCAGGGTTCCGTTGTAGAAAAGAGTCAGCCTGGCAAGGCGTGCGAAGTCTTCACACCATGTTGATCACCGGATCATCGAATTCGAACTGAACCTCCTCTAACCAATGAACAAGACAGTTATTTCACTGGGCCAGGGTAAATTAATATACGTAATTGTTTATCGAACAAGAAAACTATATTCTTTACTCCCAAAGAAAGCAAACGTAGCTTCCATGATATGCCACAAGAACAGCCAAATGCGGTCGCCGCTGAAATCGTGCCTGTCTAAAGCTCCGTCGCCGTTCCAGTCCACGTATTGGGGAGTGCCTACCAGGCGTGTACTGAACATGTACTACACTCTGACGAACACATCACGAAGTGGATGGCATGGTCTCTGTGAAGACCACTTTCTGATTACCAAACAGGTGGTTGTACATTTCCACGTGCTTGTCGGGGTGTAGGTACAGTCCAGTGTGCGGAAGACATCAAGTTTCTGTTGGAGGAAGACGACATCTCAGGTCTGTCGTTCTGGTCTTCACACACCGCCCGATCTTCGTCTTTCGAAACCGGGAAACAATTCCACCATCTTCATCTTGGATCAGTGAAGAACACCCAACAATTGACAAACACTGGAGGGGTCTAGCACTTGTCCCGCCTGCTGGATGCCAAAGGGTTCCCGGCACCGTATTGGCTCTCGTCGCGGTGACATTCTCAAAGCCTCGGTCACGGTCGGACAGGGCGCAGCGGGGTGCCGAGTTCTCGGAAGTCGGTATCTGTTCCTGTCACATGAAGAACACACATGAAGAACGAGACGAGACTCTAGTGGACTCCTGGATGGAACGGCGCAGTACCAAGAAGTTGTTGGCCTAAGTAATAGGGCCCCTTCTTCACGAAGACGTCAATCATCTTCTCTTCTGGCCCTGAGAACTACTGAACCCGCCAATCTAGGTACCCCCTTCACGGATCCATCCATCCCCTACCGAACCGAGGGTATCAACGAGTCTTGCTCCGGAACTCTGAGCTCCCCCGACGCCCATCGGCGTGTTGTTTGAAGCTCTGCACCGATCCCACGTTGGTCTCTTGAAACCTGGCATCGAAACCCCAATTCGCAGAAGAAAGGCGAGGACACTCAAATGTTTCACGTAATAATCCGGTTCCAACAAGTAACACCAGGTACAAAATGGTACAAGTACAACAGTGAGTGGTATCCATGCACGAATTGTTTCTGAGATGGTGATCATGTCTCTAAACCTCAGTCGACTTCTTGGTCAATCCTCCAAAGCGTGTCGAAGGGCACAAAAAATAGGTGGTGCCCTTGGAATCCTTCACGGGAGCAGCAGGCACTGCGTTTCTCAACTGACCTGCACAGGTTCGTCCGGAACCAGCGGATTCACCTTTAACAAAGAGATGCATTCCGAATGCGCCAGGATCCAACTGTCAAAATGATCGAGTCAACAACAAACGCAAAATAAACGCAAAACTAATCAAAACGATATTACAAGTCTCGTCAAAATGAAGGTGGGCATGATCTGCTGGGAAAGGCGGGGTATCTCTGCCTTGCGATGTGTGGATTCATCATGTTTAATCTTCTATTCTACCAGGAAGGTCTGTAAGGCAGGCTTGCTCCGGCTCCTAGCGTCCTCTTGCTACAAGGTGTTCAGGCAGGCTGGCCTATCTGGCGGAAGGGGTTCATGGAGAATGTCCGCTCACGCAGAATCACCTCCATCTCTCGCTGGTACATCACCACCACACCATCCTGAAAAAGGGAAGAAGCTGGGGAAACTGAGTTCGGATCCCATCAATCTTTTAAGTAAAACGTCTCGATCCATGCAGAAGGGTTTGACATGATCCAGTCCTGGGGGGGGTTCTGAAGTCTATACAAGAGACTTCTTCCTACGTCTTGCCCATTCTTGCTGCTTCACCAGCCTGTTGGAACCCGTGGCACCCTCTCAGTGGCTGGGTGTCAGATCGGTGCAACTACCGGGCCTGGTATCCAGTGAGCAAGTAGGACTTGTTGCGCCGGGCAATCACTTGGGCAGAAGCAAAGTAGCCATTCTTAATCCTGAGCGAAACGTCCGTCGAGCCGGACCACCGATGCCGGCTGGCCCTTTCAACCAAGCTGAATGTGCGATGCGGGTATCGAACATCATGAAACTCAAACTAAAGACAAATACACATCCCCAACCCCGGATTCCGTGTCACTAACTATCCTGGACCGACCTGTCGGGCGAAAAGACGACTCAAAGGGACGCTGCTGACGCGGCGCGCTGCGAAAGGATTGGCCCTTCCGGAGCGCCTCGACAGGCCATGGGCCATTCGCTCGTAAAACCACAGGCTGCCTAGGTCGGTGTGTCGTTTATGATCGTTTAGGACCCATGGTCCATACTGCACGTCCAAGTGAAACATGTGAAATAGAACCCGCTGAAGAACTTATATAAGGATACTTCAGGATTCAGTATCGTCTATAGTAGACCATACTTTTGCACCCCCCATCACCCCCCGAAAAAACAACACACTCCAGGAATGTCAGGTCCTCTTCAGGTGAGGGCACGATGGCTCTGTTGATACGATTTTGCTGCTCGTTTGAGTCCAAAACATCTATACCAGTGGTCATCATCTCTTTGTTCGTCGAACCTGCTACTCCGACCGATTTGCAACTCAGTGGCCATCCGACTGGCCTAAGATCAAGTCCTCAGTTCGGGCGCCGATCGGTTCCGCGGAGTCCCTGGAGACTGTGAATCCACCAATCAAAGGTGACAACAAAAACACACGAGCAGCACCTGATCTGTCAAGAAATGAAAATGACACACACTTCAAGGGCGCTACATGGGGCGAGCCCCCCCAAAAAAGGGTTCTTCTATTCGGTTTCGTCCCTTGGTCCGTCGTTCACACCCTGCTGCCCAGTTTCGAGGTCGCCTTAGCCCGGCAAAACGCTGCTGACCGATGTGAGACTGGAAAGAGTGCAAACAAGTACGTTGAGTCGGTCGACGTCGTCTTGCTTACGCCCTACAAATTCCATCAGTTTTCAAGCGCATTTTTCTGAGCAAAACCATGAGCAAAACAAAAAGCATCACTGAGTCACCAAACCATTGGGGACATCTATTATAGGTGTCTTCCAACAAATCATCTCAAGAACGAACGTGTTTCTTTTTGGCACAGCCGCCATCGTTGTCCCAATCCGTTGCAAAGGGTGCCCCGTAGGTGCCATCCCAGCCCTGGGCGTCTGCAATGAGGTCACCCTGAACCTCGGTGGACCGATCGAACCGGTGGACCACGGGCGGTCGACGGACCAGGAAATGACGAAGGGGAATTGGAATGAACTTCAGTGGGTCCAAATCGAGTCGAGCTGGGGACCATCCAGGTACTGTGCGCGATGGTCCAACGAAGCGGCCCCAGTACATGTGCGTATCACGGCCGATCACTGTGACGTCTGCTCGAATTCTGTGGATGATAATAGCTACGCTACGCCCCACTCTAGATTTCAGGCTGTTGAGGTGGAGGTATAGGTCGGTCTGCAGTCACAATCGACGTTCTGCGCAGACTTTGGACTGGGAAAAACAAGAAAATTGGTATAATATGGAGCCATTGAGACAATATATGGAGCCTTTGAAATCGACCACATAGAACATCAATCTGAACGTTCTTTGAGCTTCAATGTATGGGTCTGACCTTGGACGGCGAGCGTCGCATAAACTCGGTGTACTGAAGGCATGTGTTTTTCACTCAGGCCTTCATGGAAGGTGGTGCATTCAGACATTCTATCCGTCCATGCGTGTGTTTTCTTGGTTTTGAAGCACGTCTGTGGGCTGATCGTTGTGGCATTTTTCTGGGTTTTTAGGGATGCTCAGGCCCAGGCAGTTGTTTTATTGATGTGTTGTCTAAATATGCTCACCATTGCTCACCTATACCTTGATGATCCTTGAAGTACCTATACCAGGAGAAGATCCAGGAGTTGAGCGGCTCTTCCCGTCCCTTGAGGGAAATCAACCCCATTGCCGCGAGCGTGGTTTTGTTGCCCGCACATGTTCCCTTATAGTCGGCTGGGGCTCTGAAAGATTCTGTTGGGGGTTGCATTGGTCACCTCACTGAGAAAAAGAATGGCAATGGTTTGTCGCTTCCACCTCCAAATCTGGCGCTTTTGTCATGCGACTCTTTGCTCTTTGCAATGAACACAGGGAGAAAAAAATCAATGAAGAAAACAACTGGCCCGGAAAAGGGCAAAACACTTCCTTCCTGGCAAAGGGCAGAATTTCCCGAACTAGTTTTTCTTGAAACATGAGTTATGTTGCAGCATGTTCGTTTCTTGCAACATGAGTCAAAGATGGTCCAATTCGCCGGTGGGGATCCGTTCAGGCCAACGGGTGGAGCATTTTTGTTGCCCCACCTGGCAGGTGATCCCCTATGGTTGTCTCAATTGCCGCACACCTGGGTGATGCCCATGACCACACATGGGTACTGCAAGGGACTGACTGCGCCGAATTCATTGGTTACTTTCTGTGTACTATGTACTTTCAAGTGTCTACACCATGAATGTTGGCAGCCAAAAGGGAAACGACTACATTGGACTCACGCCTGACACGAAAAAACACACCTGGCACTGCTGGAAAGTGGCGTGAAGAAAGGGGTTCTGCGTGCCCTTTCGCATGACCAAACGTCCATCTATCTGCTCGTAGTAGTCCAGTGTCCTGATAAACAAGTCTTGCCAGGGTTCCATGTTGACAGATTTCTGGAAACCGGACCCGCATGTGGTAGCTGCAACATGGGGAGTTCAGAAAAAGCACACACGACATGACACGTCGTTCCACGTCGTTCCTTCCGTTCGTCGTCTTCGGCTTCGCTGTCCTGCCGTGAGAGGCGATGAGATCCAGGTCGCCGTCCTCGTCCCAGTCTGCCACGCAGAATCGCCCGGCCACCCAGCCTGGGGGGTTCACAGCGGACGGGTGGTTTATTGACCGCCTTTTCGAAGAGATATGTTCCTTCCAATAACCACCCCACTATAGGGAGCCCCTGGTTGCTTTGTTCTTGTTTACAGTGTTCTTGATTGTGCTGGGCCCCATGGTTGCTTTTCAAGGCTTTTTTTGGCAAGTCCATGCAAACTTAAGATCTTCAGGAGACTTGATCAATCAGGTACCGATACCGATACCTGTGAAGGTCAAATTTCGGGCAATACTTAGGTTTCATGGATTGGTGCAATCCACTTCTGCATCATTCGTGAAACAAACACCTCAACAACCTCCCTGACCCACTCCTATGGTCAAGGAGCTCCCCCCCTGTACATTTGCAGGGAACAATGGCAACAACCTCCTGGTGAAACGACCGGCAGGTGAAGCCTCACGTCATCCTTTTCACCGGGCACCGAGGGGCCAAGCTTCACACCAGCGAAGGGGTTCACGTCGGCCTCCACGAGCACTCCACGCTCATTCGCTTTGAAGAATCTCACGCGGCCTCACCCCGCAGCCATGCGGGACCAAAAGGGAACCGGAGGCTAAACAGATCAGATGGAAAGACTGGTTCTTGGGGTTTTGTAACGAACATGGTGTCTGTGGAGCAGGTCTTCATGTTCAACAATCACAAAACACTTGCTTCTGAAATACGACAAATTATATCATGGATGATGACATATTAAGTCACAATTAAGAAAAACATCATTGGTCTCTCATTTTCTTTCTCCCCTTCTTTCAACGCACAAACTCGCTTGCGCACATCCAAAAGGACCAACCCTCGCCCAATCCATCACAGCGGTCACCGGACCTCCAGTGGCTACCAAGATCTCCAGTTGACCATCCGAATCCCAGTCCACCACCACCGGAGCCGCTGAAGAATAGCCACCTGCGCAACTCCCGACGAAGCGTCTCCGCCACCAACGCGTGGTGGGCCGACGAAGCGACCGGAGCGACTGACACGACCGGGGCGACCGGGAGAGGTACTGAGGTACTGTGATTGGTCTGGATTCATGAAAAAACACCGGGAGAAGGGGAAAAGGCTGATTTCTTGGGCGTCCTATTGCTGAAATGTGGTCTAGAATGTGCCTATAGTTTGGTTCTAGAATGTTTGGGATAGTGCTGATTTCTATTGGATTAACATGGATTTTGCAAAACCTTAGTTTTGTTTCCTTTTCCGGCCTATGCCGCGACCCGTGGAATGGTCCAAAGCAAGCAGCTTCAAGACTTGGTTGGACTCAGAGTTCCTCAAGTGGCACTGATCCCAAACATCTTTTCTGGTGGATCAGAATCTGGAGGATATTCCATCGGTCCCCCCATCTCACACATTGGCGCTGATCCCATCGGGATGGATGTTGATCCGGAGCCCCAACTATCTGGTGAGTCAGAATGCGCGAGACGAAACAGAACACGATCGTGGGCATGTCAACTGTGAGCCTTGTACACCCCGTGCATCCCGCGGTACTGGTATCCAGGGTCAGGCTTAGAGTTCAAACCGCCCGCTATACGAACTGAAAACTGGTCGTCGAAGGTGGGGTAGTTCTTGAGCTAAAGCACCGACGGTAAATCTCAGTACCGCTGATGTTAGTTGGATGACTTGATGATGCAAGTGATGCCGAAACAGGTATGTCGGTCAATTCTCACTTTGTTCGCATAAACTAACTTCATCCTAGCCTATATCAGCTGGCTTTCGTAATGTAAACTCTATTGATTCGTGGCTACACCACCCACACCACCCACACCACCCACACACCATGCTTCTCACCCAGGTGGGGTTCCACACCTTGGGCTTTGTCATAGGGTGCAGGCTCCATGAAGTGCAACGGATTGGCTTCGCCCTGTTGCACTTTGAGACGTCCCTGATCCTGGCGAAGCGCCGGACCGAAGCGGCGTCTGTTTATTCAATGGATTGGCTTGGCTGGATTGAAACATCAGGAAACCATACCTGAAGGTATTCTGTTCCCCCCAAAAACGATGGGTTTCCTGTAGATTTCCCCCTAAACCAATTCAGGGGAGCATATCATATAATATACATAGCAGGTTTTGGCAGGTAGCTGCAGGTGTCAAAGCCATCTTCCAGCATGAAAGGGGCGTTTGCCGTTGCGCGTTGGCCGTCTGAGAAGTCATGCCCGAGGGGAAGGTCCAACGTAACCAAACCAATCAGCGATGTCCTTGGGTTCGTTTGTTTTCTTCTTGTTACGTTCGTAGCTACTTGCTCCGTTCGAGTCGCGATGTCAGGAGCCCCGAACTCGTAGCGTCCTTGTTAGTGCCAGGAGCACCCCGTGCGATGCCGCGATGCACATCGAAGCAGCATCGTTACGCAGCATCGATGCGTAGCCATTCGAAACACCGTGTTTGAGGCACCGAGTTGGTGGGTCGCTGGTCGGTGTCCCTCACGACTCCAACTCCATCACATTGCCAGTCCTGCTGGTAGTACAGCACGGAACCATCCTTGAAAGGCCATTGAGCTAGCAAACTCACAGGCCCGATGTTTACTCCAAAAGCTAGCAAACTCACCAGCGAGTCTGAGTTGCTGGCTTGTTGGCCAACAAAGAAATCCTGCAAGTCCGAAAGCCACGCTTCGACATTCTCAACATGCTTCTCCTTGTACTCTGGCAGCTAGTATTGACAATGAGATCAGATCCTCAAAAAAAAACAATCAAACACACTCCAAGGAAACGCGACTCCGAACATTCTGCTGTCCTGACGACCGTCACCGTTCCAATCCACCATGAAGGGAGTGGCTAAACCTCACGGGATACGGGGTGGGTGAAATCAAAGACCTCCTCGCCAATGCATGTGAATGGGTTGAACATGGGTTGAACCTTAAGGATCCAGTGAAGCTGGCTGTCATGTCCATCCTTTCATCCCTAGTTCATGCTATTTCAATATTTCAGTCTTGTTGCACCGCAAGGTTGGTCAGAGAAAAGATGAACTTACCCAAAGAACACGGCATACGGGTGCGTGGCGGCCTTGTCTTGTTGGACAAAAAAACACAACAATTTCCGCGTGGGTCTCAATCGTGTGGGTCTTTCCAGGCCAAAGAATCAACATCTTCATCTCCCACAATCCATAGCAATGGATCGGCGGAGAGTCCCGCTGTTGACGTTACAGTACGCGATTCATGCGAAAAAGCTGTCTCCGCACAGATGTGACTTGTATGATTTTTGTACTAGGACCTTCCAACAGGTGGCATTAGGACCCTTACAGGTGATTTCTGGACACCTGTTGTCTCCAGGAAACACCTGTGAAGTCGGGTCCAAATATAGGCTATATCTGGCATGCGGAGAGTTTTTGCTCAAACACCGAGTTGTGTCCATCTCCACAGCCAGTGAGAAAGTCCTATGCGCCACAGCCAAGATGCCAAAAATAACAACGAATTCAATAAACACGATGATGTTATGCCAACCGATGACAAGTGAAGACCGATGACAACTCACCATCTGATGACAATGTCTTGAAGGCGATGACAATGTTATGAACAGTTTAATGGAATCTCCAGGGCCGCGAATGCAGCCCCATGAAGAAAACAACAGCGCCCGCGGCGCCCGGCTCAAGCGCGTCTCTCGCTCGGGCGGAACCCACCGAGCCCACCGGCCGATCGCGACGCGGTGTCGAAGGTGCTCCACCAGAATTTCCTGGGATGTCGACGTCGGGTCGACTGAAGCGATGGGACTGATGGGACGGAGTTGGAGGGTGATGTTCGACGGGACTCGGACTAAGTCCATCGAGATGAAGTCATGGCTTGTCCATCCCCACGAATTCGGGTATTTTCGGGCTGACATCAAGACGGTCGTACGGCCATGGTCAGCGTCTGAAGCTGCTCAAGCATGGCTTCAAAACGACACGGTGTCGCCTTCGATGCCAAGGTTCTGCATGCCCGTGACAGGAGTTCGGAGATCGCACGCAGGAACTATGAACACCTAACATCCGAAAGTTGATGCCACGAAACACAATTTAAATAGGTGTTTCACAAACAAACCACCAGGATCCTGTTTACATATGTCATGTCGATTGATTCAACAAAACCAACGCACCCTTTTTGGCTGTGTCTGTCTGCTGACGGAATGAGTCCGACTAGTGATGGCCTCCAACCGATGGCCTCCAACCTAGAAGCAATGGCCTCCACCTACTAGCAACGGCCCCCCAACCTACCAGCGATGGCCTCCAACCTACTAGCGATGGCCTGGGATGGCCTCCAACCCACTAGCGATGGCCCCCAAGCTAATAGCGATGGCCTCCAATCTAATAGACGATGGCCTATGATGGCCTCCAACCTAATAGCGATGGCCTCCAACCTACTAGCGATGGCCTGGGAGGCCTCCAACCCAATAGCGATGGCCCCCCAAGCAAATAGACGATGGCCTCCAACCTAATAGACGATGGCCTATGATGGCCTCCAACCCCATAGCGATGGCCTCCAACTTCCTATAGCGATGGCCTTCAACCTAATAGCGATGGCCTCCACCCTAATAGCGATGGCCTCCAACCTAATAGCCTAATAACAATGGCCTCATCCCCCTTGGAATTAAGTGGGGGGGGTGTGTACACCGATTGTATAGTTATAAAATGCTGCATATGACAATCCAAAATGAGAGGCTGCATTTTGAGCTCTAGAATTGGGATTGTGAGACAGAAAGTCATGGCCAGCTCTATAGAATTGGGTCGGGGATATGCAGAATAAGTAGACATGTCAAGTACAAACACTATAGAATCGTAGGGCACAAGGTATTTTTGAACAGTGTGTTCTTCAATTATGGGGTAGTAGGTTCTCTATAGAATAGCAGGCTTTGGGTTGCAAAATCTGACTACCTTGGAAACAGGACCTCTAGCAACCTGTTCCTGCATGAAAGCTACCACAATTCTATAGTATCTCAACATGATCATTGGTCAACAGAATCCTCTTGACATGTAAAATTCCGTCATGGCTTCACTATAAAATCAAACTTCCTTTGCCAAGATATGTTTTCATGCACAAACATCCTCTATAGAATTGAGGCTCGTAACTTGCTGTGCTCTCTATAAAATCAGACTCTCTGAATCTCTCTGACATGCCACCTCCAACATGGGCAGATCATGTTTCTTTAAATATACCTAGGGGGGATGTGGCCTCCAACTTAATAGTAATGGCCTCCAACCTGATAGCGATGGCCTCCAACCTAATAAAAACGATTCCCTCCGACCTAATAGTGATGGCCTCCACCCTAATAGGAATGGCCTCCACCCCCGAGCCAAGCAGCCCTTTCCGCCACGCGTTCCGACGACAAGGCCGAGGATGCAAAGACCTCGGCCGTAGGAACGACGCGCCGTTTCCGGCGGCAAACAACACGGGCCGCCGTCGGTGTTCCGTCGCGACGCATGATTCATCCGGGTGGCGATGCAGAATGGAGCATGATGCACGAAGAAACATTTCAAGCATGAATTATGAACCACGTCCTGATTTTCGAGCCAAAATCAATTAGTCAGTGCCATTCAGGAGCATGTAATTCGGCTCAACAACTGTTGGTCGTCTTTCACTTATTCTATGCAAAATCCTTCCCACATTCCAACAGTTGGTGTTTTCAGCGACGAACACGTTGAACCAATCTGCTGTCCCCAGAGCGTCACAGGTTCAATATGGTTCAATCGCCCGTTGCAATTTCACATTCTGAAAACTGTCATCAATTCCGTCGTAGCACCTGGCATCCAGTGATCAACAGCCCCCCAGCTTAAAACGTCAGGCATCCAGGGGTGGCAAATCTGCCTCAATTGCTGGCTGGCTTTCCTCCGAGAGATCCTTGGAGTGATCACCTTGAAACCGTGGCGTTTGACCGTTTGACCGTGTCGTTGGTGAAAGCTTTTGATGACGACATCTCGGAGCCGTCGCTCCGCTCGGATGTCGACAAGGTGGTGGATCGGAATGACCAAGCCGCAAAGACTCAACACCAAACCAAACCAGCAAGCGGCAAGAGCTGATTTAGCTTTTAAAGTTTTGAAACCAGGTCTACTTATGGGCAAACCTGCAATTGCTTTCCTCTCTTCTATAATCATATGCTCCACATGGCTGACGAAGCTTCAGAACGAACACGCGAAATTCCCAAACAAACGCGCCATGTTCATCCATTTTCACAGTGATAGCTCTGCGTTCGAAGACTTGGTGTCTGGACACCAAAAACGCATCTGTGAGCATTCCAGGCCGCTAAAGACAAGAGCACAAGAGACATCAAATCCGACCTAAAATTGCTGGCTTGACCTGAAAAATCCTGAAACATTGCTCATAAAACCCGAAAAAAGAATAACCCTTAAACGTCACACGAGGTTTCGAGATCACAACAGGTCGTTCGGATGTTTCTCCCTGCACATCGTGCTTCCAACGCAGATCGTCCTCATCCTGAAGTCGCTTCTGACCATTCCGAGTCGTTTCCCCGCGCTGGTAACCTTTGACCACCCCAACCATCAAAACAACTAATTACAACTTAAAACCACTCCAATTTGTTTGTGAATGTATTTCATACATGGATTGTTTGGGATTCGGTTCCATGAAGTCCTTCATGCGAAGCTCGAGAAAAGAACACGTGAATGCTGAAAACGGCGCCAAGCGCACGACTCCAATGCCGGGCCTAGAAAGACTGCCGATTAGAAAGACTGGATGACGAGTTCGCAGACGTCACCTCCGAAACTGACTCGCCCGTTCGGCCCGATCGGTGGCCTCCCAAGACCTCACGCCGGAATTCTTTCACGAGACGCGCGTCGAGGGAGGAATTAATGAACATCACCGCGGGGGGAACTGGGCATGGCTTCTAGCAGCCATGTAATTAGGGGCGGAAGACGTGGCTTCTTGGCATGAAACTTTCATCACAAGCCGAAGCACCTCAAGAGCACTGAAAAAGTTGTCGACTGCACAGAGTTTTTCTAGTTCCTCCCTGCGTATCTCAAGGTATCAAACGATGAAAGAGCAATGACGTGGGCTCGTGACCGGTGTGGTGATCCTTTGGAATTGATGAAAGACTTCGAAAGGGCCAAAGGTGGACAGTGAAATCCACCGCTTTCGGCTTTCAGCCATTGGTCCCTTCCTTGATAATCCTTGATACCCAGAGCTAGGGAGGTATTACTTGTACATTCGGCATTCTAACCCGTCTGATCGGCACAGCCACATAGGGCAGAAAAGCGCGAAGGACAAAAAGTGGATTGCCACCAGCAGATCCCGACACATCCGGATTTGTCTGAAAGCTCATGCGAACGAACGGAGGATAGCAGTGCCCCTGTCACATCCACTAAAGGCGTTGGCACCATCCATACGGCACACCCTAGTAGCAATGGTCTCCAACACAAGCAAAAGGAACCTAAGAGCGATGGCCTCCATCGAAATAGGAATGGC